TTTCGTTATTGGGATTAAGAAAAATATTTGCCCCAAATTTCGGGAAAAAGCCCAAATCGTGTGTTTAACGGAGCCCAGTCACCTCCAATTGCAGACGACGAGCTTCAGCTGCCACAAGAGACTCGCCTTACTCTGGCCCAGTTAAGGTCTGGATACTACAGTCGTCTGAACTCGTATTAGTTTAGTCTCGACGCTAACATACCAAATGCATGTCCGGCTTGTGAAGGTTCCTCCACGACACCAACCATCTCTTCACCTGCCCACTTAAACCCACTCACCTTACATCCCTCTCTCTTTGGGCCAATACAGTCAAAACATCGCATTTCCGCATTTAGAAACATAAATAGCTTTTTAAATTAAATTTTATCTTACATATACATACATAAGTATAATTTGTTATATTTTATAAATATCTCTCTTACTTTTAAGTCGCAAGACTGTAACAAATAAATGAATAAATAAATATAAGTCAGTGGGAAATTTAATATATTTTAATGGCACTTGATGGAGTTTTTTTCCTCGATGTCAAAAATAGCTAGCTACAGTAATTTTAAACCTCCCCATCTTCAAAAATTGAGATTTTTTGGGTAACATTAGGGTAAATTAGATTTTGCTTTACAAATTTTGTGGCACCGGAGAACCCAACACTAAAAGAGAAAATTTCCCTACAACATTTTAATGGCGAAAACCGCGACAATGCAAAAATTTTTCGCACTTTTTGCTAATTATTTACAATAAAAAGTATATATATTTTTTAAGTTATGAGATTTAGGGACGAGACTATGGATCCGTGATGTCAAATAGAAGAAAACTGCATCAAATTTTCGCTACTACACATTTTTTTCTTCGTACCAATATGATCTAAATTTACTTGGCTAAAATTTAACTTCTGAATTCCTAAAAAATTTTAATTTTACGTGGAAAAAACCTCAATAATAGTAATAAGCCACGTAAACAGCCAGAAAGCCCTTTTTGCAAATTTGCAGAAATCACTTTCGGAAATAAAGATTGCAAGGTGTAACTGCAACTGAAATTACGCAAATCATTTTCAAGAAATAATTTCAACTTGCTCGTGCTGCACTGGCAATTTTCATTATTAGGTTCAATCCCGTATTCCTCGGACTCGGACTAGTAAAACTGTCAAAAAATAAAAATTCGCTCAGAGCGAGAGAGTAATATAGAAAAGTACGGGATCGCTTTCTAGTAAAAAACTTCAACATAACCTCCAAATTTTGGTTGTAAATTTTTGCATATTTTGTATGTAAACACACTCAGCTCACACATGTAAATAACCAAAAATACTTTCAAATTCATTAGAATCCACTTAAACAAGTAATTAAATACTTTTCAACATGAATTAGCAGAGTGCACTTTTCTTTTGTTTACAATTTGGTTGCCAAACACACTACAGCTCATCGTTTGACACATTTACCAGAATTTACCAGCGAAAAATTCTCGGACTAAAACTGGTAACTTCTGACAGAGAGAGAACCGTATTTACTCTCTTTTTTGTCCTCTCAATAGTCAGAGAACCGAGTACGGGATCGATTTACAGTAAAATCTGACTGATTCTGACTATTTCTGACTAGTCCGGACTCGTACGGGATCGCAACTATTGCTTCAACTGCTGTCAAACCAATCGAGTGTTGCCGTGTGACGCGATTTTTGCCGAATTTCTGTAAGATTATAAAAATGTTGCATCACATTTAAATAAATACTTATAATTATTGTATTCTCCTGATATGAACAATATGAATACTAAAGCATTAAACACTTTGTGGTTGTTTTGTTCGCATTTGAACATTTTTAACAAATTTTTCAGATCAGTAATGTGGTTATGAGAATAAAAATGTCTGGTAACATAGGTGAAAGTGGACTTGTCAGCATTCACCCTGTAAACAGACAAAAATTAGTATCGGAAAGTTTGATTTTCAGAAATAAAAACTGCTTTCGGAAGCCACTTTACATGCAAGGAATAACCACTCCTGCAAACTCGTTTGAAAATTCTTGAATTTGACATACTTTAGAAAAGGACTTGCACTTGCCACGTCTAAAGGTGCTGTTAAACGTGGCAATGCAAGTACTTTTTCTACGCGGTTTGCGAATTTCAAAGTCTACTTTCCCGTGTAAACATCCAGAAAGTCCATTTTTCAGATTTGCAGAAATCACTTTCGGAAATAGAAATTGCAACGTGTAACTGTAACTGAAATTATGCAAATCCCTTTCGATAAATAATTTCAACTTGCTCGTGCTGCACTAGCAATTTCAATTTTTGCTGCAAGTGTTGTCAAACCAATCAAGTGTTGTCGTGTGACGCGTTTTTTGACGAATTTGTATAAAATTATAAAAATGTTTAATAAAATATGAAAAATACGTGTAATTAATTTATTCTACTGATATGGAGTATTTAAGTATTAATGTATTATATACATATTTCGTGACTGTTTTGTGCAAACTTTAGCAGGTTTAGCAAATTTTTCACGTCATTAATTTTGTTATAAGCTTAAAATTGTCTGGTAACATAGTTGAAAGTGGGCTTGTCTGCATTAACCGTGTAAACAGACAAAGAGTAGTATCGGAAAGTTTGATTTTCAAAAATAAAAAGTGCTTTCATGCAAGGTGTAACTGCTCCTGCAATCATTTTGGAAAATTCTTGAGTTTGGCAGACTTCAGAAAATGACTTGCATTTGCAACGTCTCACAGCTACTTAACAGCCACACAAAAAATGACATACTTTCCGCAAAATTACTGTGGTCAGCGTAGCTGGAGTTGGACGTACGAGGGCCATTTTGTGATGAAAAAATGGCATCGACGTCGTCGTCAACAACCATGATAATGCCGATTATAAATAGTGAATCCATTTAAAACTTTCGTCGTGTATTTGACAAGTTCGAACCCTACATGGACGATTCCAAGATACGAAGATATGTAGCTGCTATATTTCAATATAGGTATGTACAAGCTAAGCAGAACAATATCGATATCGGAAAAATCGATGTTGAAGATCCTACTCCCAATTGAATAGAATATTAGACCTGCCTCTCAACTTACCTAATTGTGTTATTTCCATCTTGTATATTTACTGAGGATTAAAACGGCATGCCGGTCGACTCAAGCGGTTTGTCAAACTTAAGAGCTAAGTAAATAAATCACACAAGCTGCTGATTAAAAGCTGTGACAGACGGCAAAGCTTACCCTGAAGGAAAGATTGGTCCAATTGCTCGAAAAATATAGTCGTAGGTATAGTAGCTTTGTAACTAGACCAAAGATAGTCCAAAAATTTAAAGCAATTAATGTAAAACAGATGAATTGTACTAAAAGTGGTCCGAATGTAATGCATAAGGTACGAGTTTTGTTCTAAAATTGGTTACAATGTCATGCAGTAGCGGACAACGGGTATAATTAACGATTTGCTGATATGTAGGCACTTACTCAACGAATTTTCATGTGCGCGCTGGCATGTAGAGAGAGTGTCCGCTCAAAAAATCTGAGAACCCGGTTCGAATCGCAGCTGGCGGAAGTTTTATTTTTGTTTTTTTTCCCCCAAAATTGGTTACAATGTAATGCAGAAACGGACAATTGGTCCGAGCCGAGGACATTCAATGTTAAATGTAAATAGAATTTTACATGTTCTTGGACCAAACTTTGGACTAGTTACAATCACTTGCAGTCTAGTTTGTAGTGTGCTCTAAGTCTATTCCGAGATCCTACAGGGTATGCATATAATCTGGCACACATATGCACATAATAATTTTCACCTAACAGACGGCAGTTATGTGGATAAACGAGCCGCAAGGTAGTGGGCTCCAGTCCCACCGCCAATTGAATTTTCATTTATTTCGTTTTCATTCTTTTTTTTATAAGTTATATAGTTTTTTACGTTGCTTTCAGTTAGTTGTTGTTGACTTTTTATTAAAATTCAACTCTAAAAATTTAAATTAACTAATAGTAAAATAAAAAATGTTATATAAAATAAAGCAAATGAAAACAAAATAAAGTAAAATTAAATATATAGATCAAATAAAATAAAAAAAATATAAAATAAGTACCGAGGATCGAACCTGGCAGCAACAGGCTTGTAGCCCGCAACTCTTAACACTCGGCTACCGCGGACGCGGAACTCGCGCGCTTTGTTTGCTTACTTTTACAGAAGACAAAAGCTGGCCGTTTTTACCAGTGTTGTCAACGAAAACTGCTCGGATAGCGAGTTAATTCCCAAAAATTTCGTGCAGTTGTTCGGCTGCTTATGCGCATTTTAAAGAGGAAAATGCATGAGTCAAGGCAAATAAAGGCTGTTTATGCAAATAATCGAGCCCGTTTGTCAACCGTATAAACCTACTTTAGTATTTTCCCATACAGTTTTTTGTAGATCAAAAATAAATTTCAACTTAAATATCGATATTGCGGGTAAAGTATCGATGTCTTCGATATAACGACCTTGGAATATCGAATTAAAAAATCGATTATCATGCCATGAAATATCGATATTCAGAATAATCGATACGATATCGAACATTCTACTCCAAAGTGGAAAGGCTGGGAAAAAGATGCGCAGCCAGCCAATTGACGCCTACCGGTCGCCAAGCTGGCTTGCGCTTACTACACTATTGTTTATTTGCATGTTTGCTAACCATATAGGCTCTACGCTATCAGGCGACAAATACATATGGCAACTGTGCCACGTAGTTTAAATAATTTGATTGCCCTTCGGTATGCTGTGAAATTAGTGAGGTTTATACATATGCGCTTTGTTTAAATATATTAAATGTTTCAATATACCTAAGACAAATTATCGAACAAAACGTACACTTGTTAAAAATTGGCCTCCTCAGGTGACTCACTTGCAAAACACATGTACATTATCCGATAGGTAAACCAAAAATTATATTACAAAACAATTAAATCAATTACACTCTACTACCGGTAATCTGTTTATATTTATCTATTTTACATTGAAAATATATAAGTACATACAATTTTGCAATGAAAAATTCACTTACGGTCCTCCATCGTTCCTTGCTGCTATTGTTAATGCACTCTAGTTTGCTATAACTTTTTCACTTTTCGGAGCAATTAAAATTTAATGACCAGTAGCAATCAGTTCAATAAAAATACACTTGGCCCAATGAATATGATTTATTATTTTCTGTAGTTCTTTGTGGACAAGAAAATAACACTCTTTCACAAAAATCTGCTACTTTTCAACAATGAACGAGTAAAACTAATCGCTATATTCGACATTCGTTGCAATTATATTTGTAGCGAGTTACATAAACAGCTGAAACAGATTACCCCATATTAAAAATTCTATACCTATTGTGGCACACAGGGTGTACATCAAATGTTGACGAATTTTGTTTAAATATGTTTTTAAATGTTTTTCGTTGCCATATTTATTATTACTTAAACCATTAGTACCCTGGTCCGTTTTGCTCCGGGCCACTGAGCTGCCTAGAGAGACCCGCGATACTCTGGCACAATTGCGCTCTGGATACTGTAACAAATTCAACTCCTACTTATATAGACTAAATCCCGACGTAACCAACGAATGTCCTGCATGTGAAGGGTTCCGCACAACACCAACCACCTATGGTCCGATCCCGCCGAAACAGCGCGTTCTTTGTGCCTATCTTGTGTTGAAATTGTTGACAACGATTGTGGGTTTTAGGACGGGTAGGCTGAGAAAACGGCCTTGTCGGGTATTTTTCGGGTTGATCTGGTATCGAAGAACAAAACATCGTGAGATCGCCTAGAACCAAGTATCGGGACAACGGCACACTATCACAATCATCAAGAAAAAACAAGCCGCATGCGCTCGTGATATGCAGAGACAACTCCCAAACCTGTTAGAACACAACCATTCGCATGGCAACTGAGTGTCTGCTCATGTTATTGGAAATACATCTACACAGCGAGGCTGAAATGCTCCCTGCTAATTTGCAAACTACTTTCGTCGAAATAATTCCTGTTGAGCTATAATAGAGCAAACTATCTTTTCGTGGTTACTTTTGTTGTGGCGGCGAACATAAACCCGACTAGATCGGGGACATAGCCATTAGTTGAGTGGGGTTTAGGTTGCTTGCGAAGAGATGTCTCGAGTCGCCAGGCGTCTCTCCGCATGCCGGGCAATCGTTGCGCACATCTGCATCCAGGTTTTTCGGGTACGAGTTTAATCTGCTTAAGAGCGAAGTTGGGCTATTGGGTCCGAATAGAGATGGGTAACTCAGCACTGAGCGGAGCTATTGAGCTGACTCTCAGCAGTGTGGTGCACGCTCAGACTCACAACTAAAAAAAAACATGTCTCAGTAACTTATGAAAATAAAGACGAAAAATTTGCAAAAAATTTAATAGTTGTGTGTGTCATCAGCTCGACAGCGCATACCAATTATATTCCTCTTAACAGCTCTACAGTGCAAACCAGCTCGACTCTAGGCTGTGTTGCCTGACAGCAGAATGTCATAGCTCAATTGTGCCACCTCACTTAGCTGACTCATTAAAATGAGCTTGAGTCGTTGAGTTAACTTGCTAAAATTCAATGAGTTACCTAGCCGTAGGACTCCCGAGTCTTCCACGTCTGGTGGTTGTGATCCCAAAACGGCATTCACAGGTCGAGAGTCAGTGTAGGTATGCACTGTCTGTCGGGTCCAGAGGTTATGCTTTATGAACATCTGAACTTCGTCCGTCCGTTCGTATAGACGCCTTCTAACGTGCCGTGGCGAGGGCCGCAAGTGTCTGTTCGGGTACCCAATTCGGTAACACCCTACTAAGAATTGCTTGCAGACCATTATGTTATGCTCCCTAACGGGGAGCATTTGAGCCTCGTTATATAGATGATGTTGTGGCGACATCAGAATGCATCCGGTTGCTGTCCGGAGTGCCGTGTTTTGGCACGTCTGTAGCTTTTTCCACTGCGTCCTACTAATCTCCGGCCACCACACAGGTGCTGCGTAGTTTAGAACCGGCCGACCAATTGCCTTGTATGTTGCCAGCCAGTTGTCTTTGTCCCAGGTGCTGCCGGCTAGCGATTTGAGGGCCTCGTTGTGGCTCTGTATTTTATTGACAATTGCGGGTTTGCGCGCCGATAAGGAGAGCAGACTATCGAGAGTTGCTCTGAGAAATTTCGGATTATTCACCATCGAAATTTATATGCCATCGACGTGAATTCCCAGCTGTAATTTGACCTCATTCGTGCAGGTGGTAAACAAGGTTGCCGCGGTCTTTGTAGAGAAGAGGGTTAGCCTCCTCGTAGTGAAGAACCGAGATAGCTCGGAGATTTTGAGAGAGCTTTGAAATGTAATAGTTAAACAATAGCGGGAAAAGGACACCACTCTGTGCATAGGCGTAGCCAGGTAGGGGCAGGGGGGTGCTCGAGCCCCCCCCCTAACTTTCAAATTTTCCTTATATATAAATAAAATAGTACCCTGAAATGCCAGCTTAATAGGGTCGAGCCCCCCCTAAATTTCATTCTGGCTACGCCGATGACTCTGTGTACCTCCCCTTCAATTTTCCTTGGCTTGCTTGTTTTGTCTCTAAAAGTTACTGACGAATGTGGACCACTAAGATAATTCCCCGACCACCGTTCGAGTCCCTGTGTGAGAAAGCCTCAATATCTTTTAGTAGGTTGGAGTGACTAACGGTTTCAAACACCTTTGACAAATCCAACGCTACTAGGACTGTTCTCTCACAGTGGCGGTTACGGTTTAGGCCACGAGCTATCTGAGTATTTATGGCGTTAACTGCTGTTGTTGTGCTATGCACTTTACAGAACCCTCGCTGGGGTAAGGTTATTTGTGTAATGCGGGAGTAGCAAGGTCTATACTATCATCGCTACCTGCTAAATGCCGGATTCCCCGGTTTGAGCAGTAGGACCGGTCACTCTATTTTTCATAGACAGGTTGAGGGCCCTGGTAAGGTCCAGGACCCAATTTTTTCAACATCAACATGCATATTCCGTCGGGTCCTATGGCTTAGTAGGCTTTCGCCTTCCCAATGGCTAGTTGAACCTCATCGCTGGTGAAAGCAAGAGACGCGCTTGCTGTTGGCGGTTTGTGAGGTCGGGACACACTCGACGTTGTCGGCGAAAGTAGCTACGCATCGCTGCGGGTACGACGGAGCGCGGGCGCCGAAAGAGATTTCGACTCTGTTGTCACGCTTCGTCGGGTTGGACCACGGTTGATCGAAGCTTGCTCACACCAGAGGTGAAGTTGCAAGTCTTCATATGCTCTCCGCACTTCTTCGGCTTATGTACGTTCACGTTATGGATAATCGGGCGGGAATCTTCACATACGATATCTATTACTTGTCACGTAAAAACACATTTCTTTCATTATGGCATACGAATGCCATAATGAACGTACTCTTTATTCCATTCAGCTTACAGGACTGACGTATCACGTAATTCTCTTTCGTATGATTTTCGATCCGTGAACGGATGTTACGGTCTGACACCGAGCAGATTGTCGGAGGAACTGGGAGTTGTTGGGGCCGGCGTGTGGGTGATGGTGCGATTATGTCTGTGGTGGTGGTGTTAACGGTGGTAGACCGCCAAAATATCAGCCCCCGTCGTTCCGGTACGTAGAACCGGCTGTCGTGGGCATGAGAAAAGAACATTAATTTTATTTGGCACAGTCTAATAGACATATCGCTGGATTAGAATGCAAAGTTGCTAAGTCCATTTTTTAATTGTACAGGAGAAAAAACCTTCTTATTGAAATTTATTTCGCAAATCTTTGAAATCAAGTTTAACAACCCTATTCTCGCAACACTGACAAAATTCATCGTATGACTATTGCCACAATTACTGCGTCTAAAACCCAATTATAAACATTGTTTCTCCATTGTCGCGTACTCAGTAGGTCATAACAATAACACTGACAATTGTCACCATACGAGAGCTTAAAATAAATTTGCAGCATAGTATTAGGCGCAGTAGTACAGGCAATAGTCAGCCGCTGAGTTTTGTCATTGGCGTGGGAATGGGGCTGTAAGGCAAAGCAAACCTCCATACGAATAAGGATTCGATTTTTATTAAAAGATTTCGCATTATTTTGGTTTTATCGGATTTTCGGTGCCTCTTTTTGACTTTGCCTTTCATTGAATATGAACGAGAAAAAAAATACCTCAATCCTTTTCGAAGCGATGCATTTTTAATATCCCTTGCCTTATATATAAAAATATAAGTTGTCATAAAAGTTGACTTAACAACTTTTCACCCTAAGCTAGCGATATGCTGATTTTATTTCCGTTGATTCAAATGTTTTCAGTGTTTCAAACACTACAGTCATCATTTCCTATTCAATTTTCATCTAATTTATCAGATCAATTTTATTATGCATACATACATATAAAATAAAAAGAGAAAATAAATCTAGTATACTTTAGAGTTTCTTTTTGTTTTAATTATGTATATGTTAAATCGCTGTATATGTGTTTTGTTTTTTATTTTCAATTATTTTTTTTCGCTTTGTTACCTATTTTTATTTAGTTAATTTTATCTGGAATATAGGAAAATATATGTATATGTTTATTTATAAATTATTTGTATAATATACACATGCAAGTATGTATGTATGTTTAATATACACATGTTTATGTAATTAAATTTCGTGTTGCTTTATTTTTTATGCAAACTGCATTCTGCAATTTAACTTATAGAGAATCAATTATTTTCTTTATGTGTATATACTTATAAAAAATTACATCAGGTTGTACCGTTAAAACTTATTTCATCTCAACTTCTTTACTCCAGTGATGTTAGATATTAAAAAGGAGGGAGGTAAAAAAAACCAAAGTCACTGCAACAGAAACGATAATTACAAAATAAATAAAAAAATAATATAAAATATATACACCCCGCTTCACTTAAACAGCCAGTTGCTATTCTAGTGAATCAAAATAATAAAACATTTTTCGTGTAATCTGATAAAAGCGGAATAAAAACCAAAGTAATCAAGGTATTTTCTTCATTTTCGCCACTTTTATTAGAAATACGATGCCCAAAAATTAAGAATATTGAAGAAAAAAAGTGTCTGTTGAACTGACTCGGGGTGTATGCATATCAATAAAAATTAAAACAACACAAGCTGAAATCGGTTTTACGTATTTTTTTGTTTTATTTTAACTATATTTTCGGTTTTTATTTATATTCAATGAATAATATAAATCATATTTAATTGCGTTAAGGAGCTCAACGTCTACATACGTATGTATTTGTATTCTGTATGGTATTTGTGTTTGCATAAATTTTATAAAAATCGTTGTTACTCCTTAACTTAGTTAAGTTTTAAATGTTTTGCAAAAAATTATAATAGTTTTATATAATTGTGTAAATTGCGTTAGAAAAAATAATAATTATTTATATTAAATCGCACAAAAATTTAAAACTATAAGCCGAAAAATGAAGACTTTTAATTGCACAGGAATAAAGTTTTTCTTTTATTTATTTTTTTGTTGTTGTTGTTTGATATTATCTTTTTCTTCTTTTACTTGATTGGAGAGCTGTGTATAAGAGGTAAATTTTTTTCACAAATACAAAATGACAACGTAGCTTGTTTCAACTTAAAAAAGGACACAAAATCAAAAAGCAAAAGTTAAATGAAATACATATATTTCGATAGTAAAGAAATGTCTTCGCTATGTATTAAAGTTATGCACACAAAATTATTTAAAAATTGCAATAGCGAGCACTTAGCAAGAACCCGTTTACAGCATTCAGTTGCGATTTTCACCAATTACAGGCAGCATAATATTGTGAATTGGTTCGTTCGTAGGATTTAAGAGGGAACATTACGGATTCTAATAAGCATAAACTCGTTTATATTATGTATGTATGTATATAATATATAATGTATGTATATATTTTATATATATATTCAATTAAATACAAATATAAAACATTTCACTTTAACATTATTCCGAAAAAAATCATGGTTTATATTTAAAGAAAAAATATTGCTATCAACTATGTATTCCCCGCTAACGAATTTATGTTTTCATATGCGCCTATCTCTTCATGAATAACCAAAAATGATTACAAGGGAGTTTGGCAAATATGTATTAAAGTTGTCTGCGCTTTTTATTTCTATGTTATTGAATTATCTGTTCGATTTGCGTTCATATTTTCGTTGCATTTTGCGTTTACAATCGCTCGCAATTATGTATATAAATGTATCTACTGTATTTGTATGAAGAGTAAAACATTTGTTGCAAAAAAAATCTTTTACGAAAGCATTTTTATACGACAGGGGATGAACGCATTGCGAAATAATATTTCATAGATTGTAACAAATTTGTTTGCATGCCAAAAAATTTAAAAAGACGAACGTTAAAGCATAAGGGATAAGTATTTTTTTGCACATTCATGCAGATCAAAAATTATTTCCTTAAGATTTGGGGGTTTTAATTTTTGGAGCATTTTGGTAATTTGGTTTGCAAAAGATCAACTGACTGATCTACCTCTCCACATATCAACAACGATATTCAAACAAAAATGCGTATGTGTAATACATATTTCAAATTGCCCATAATGTTTTAACTTTCGATCGTGTAACAAACGAAAACTTCAAATAAAATTTGCAAAAAAATTGGAAAGCAAAGTGGATATTTTGCCTGTTGAACATGAGAAGTTAGCCGCAACAAAATCCTTATTTGTGTACGCATAGGTCATAACCTACGTTACACTTAAATTGAACACAGAATTACAGAAAGCGCTTAACTTTAAGAATATTGAATTTAAAATTTCGATGCCGTCTTTTTTGTGATTGGGGTGTGGTTGCCTGCTTTAGTATTTTTTTTTCTAGTAATCCTAGGCGAAAATTGCAACATATATATACTTATATATTTGATTTTAGAACAAAAACGCTTTGTATGGACAACCTTCGATTCAACACTCACACGTATTTGTGAGTGGGCGTGTATATGCGTGTGTTGGTCTCCTACCCAAATTTGATCCTTAGATTTCTTGTTTAGGTCTTCAAGATTTTTTTTTAACGTCTGCCTTTTAGTTACATACATGTTTTTAATATATTTTGATGCGTTTGCACTTTTTACTGTTTTTTTGTCTGATTTTTTTGTAAACTTTTTACTTATAACTTTTGTTAGTTATTGTTTTTTTTCTGTTTAAATTTGTTTAATTTAGTTTTTCGGTCCCCATGCTGATGTTAAGGGTGAAGACACTGGTGCTGGACCTCCAGCTGCGAAATCTGGGAAATCCTCCTGCGACTGAGTATTGGGTGCAGAGCTCTTGCCGTGTCTGTCGTTAGTTTTTTCCCATGGTGCATCTTTAATAACAAAACCATTTTCATTACCGCCAGGTAGGAAGGCCGCCACTGTCTGAGGCTGTGGTGATGGTGGCAAATTGTCCAAATATTCGTTGGTATAGTCCTCAGCCATATTGAGTATAACTTCCTTGGCATTTTCGACATCCTCCTCTTTGCCGATAATAGTTACGGCGTTGGGATTATTTTGAGCATCGTCAGAGGAAGCGAATTTGATGTCGACCTGTAAATAAAAAATGCATAAGTTGTGGGTATTCAGGCAATATACATACAAACAACACGTTTTCTTAAGGTATATTCCTGAATATCCGAAACTTTCACATAAGTAACCCTCAAAGGTCGACGTAAATCCTACTGTGAGTTTTCAAACTAATATCCCAATATGAAACAGATCGAAACAAGTAATTTTTACGCAAAAAATAAAACCGACTTCAATTCCCTTAAAAAAATTTAAGATTATCGTTAATTTCTTCATGATCCAATGTCGGATTTAAACCAGATTAGTATGGTAACACAGTAGCGTGTTCCAAAGTTATTCGGTAACATACATAAAAAAAATATTCCGACGAACTGATAACCTTCTCCTATTTGTGAAGTCGGTTAATAAATTTAAGTAAAAGGTTTGAAATTTCAACAAAAACCAATTGCTAAGTTTTTATTCATAAGGCCCATTGACAATCCCACTCTGTCCGTCCTTTAAAGTGGTGCAAAAACATGTACTATAACGAACAAAGATGAGAAGGTTTTTGCAGCTTTCGAGAGAACTATTATACCCAAGATCTAAGACCCTATTCCTAAATTGGATGGGGGAACAATGGGCGCGAATTGAATTAAAACAATTAATCAATACACTATTCACAACTTCCTTTTATGTTAACCTTTAGAGTTGCTTACCTTATAATCTTCGATTATCTTACGTATGGTCCGACCACGATGTCCGATTATGTGCGAATGTATGCGCGAGTCTACTTCGATTACCTCACGATATAAATCCTGCAAGTCTCCGACAATTTCCATAATTGCATCACGCGCGGCTTCGGTGTTGGTCTGGTAGCCGGTGATGGTGATGATTCGTGGATCGGGGTCTGTACGTTTTGGCAGCGAGATTTGCACGTCATGATCGGCGCGTAGCTTATTGATTACGGCACCGCGACGACCAATCAATTTTGAGTGATACTGGGTATCCACATCGATTTTCAATTCATACGAACGAAGCTCACGATCGGCACGATCTGCTTCGTACTCTTCAATCATTTTGTCTAAAGCTGCCTCAGCTTCCGCTACGTGCGCCGGTGTACCACTAAGTTTGATCAAGTCGGACTTTGTTTCGCTGGGCGGCAACTCAATGTGCACATCATAAGTTGACATGAATTGACGTACGTTGGCACCTTTCGGACCGATGATTGTGCGATGCAGATCGTAGGGCACTTCTAGCTCCTTGACGATCGGTATCAAATCAATCAAAGCTTGCTTTGCCGCTTCGCACTTTTCCAGGCGACCGCTTATGCGAATAATATCACATTCCCGCACAGGCTCCGCATTTTCATCACCATCCTCACCACTGCCATTGGTACCATTTACCAAACCCTCAACTGGATTAGTAGCATCGCGATCCGGAAATTTAATGTTAACATCGTGCTCAGAAGTCACTTGCTGTACCTTGAAGCCGCGTGCACCCATTATGGTACGATGTAGTCGCTGTGGAATAACTACATCAATGGTGACCATCGCCTCTAAATCGCCAACAATTTCAGCAATGCGTAGCTTCGCCGCCTCAATGCAATCTTTGGGGCCCTTCAAGGTAACCTTGTCGGAATCGATGCCCTGTCGCGGGAAAGAAATCAAAACGCCACCGTTTTCTTCGGAAATGCGATGTAAGATTTCGCCACGCTTGGCGACGAAGTTCTTGTGAAATTTAGGATCGACGGAGATCTCCCCCTCGGTCACTTGATCAATATCTTTAATAATGGCCTCCAATTGCTCTTTGGCCGATTTCACACTATCCTCTTTGCCAATGATTATTATAACCTCCTTATCTTCATCTTCATTGGAAGGGAAAATTATGCGGGCACCAGTAGCATCGCGAATCTTGCGGATGGAAGCGCCATTTTTGCCGATCAGGAATTTATGATGCTGCTGTTTGGCACGGACCTCAGCAGTGAATGAAGCCAATTGACGTTCGTTGGCAAGTTCGAGCAGTTGAGCTTTGGCTTTTTCCACATCGTCCTTTGGACCTCGAATTGTAACCTTCATAAAATGCGAAGGATTAAATTTAATACAAATGCAAAAAAAAAGAATTGGGGTATTTCTACTCTTACCATATCGCTCTTCGAGTCGCTGGTGGGGAACTTAATCGAAACGCCACCACATTCTTCCATAATGGCCGATATTAGTTTACCTCCTGTGCCAATGATGGAATTGTAAAACTTCGGTGAAATTTGTACCTCTTCCGTAACAATATCGGACAACTCGTTTTGAATCTTTTGAATACGTTCCTTGGCCTCAAACACATTTTCCTTCTTTCCTGTGATCACAATCACTTCGTTCGTATCGCCCTCAGCCGGCAAGTCGATTTTCGTTTGTGTTTCATCACGTATTTTTTTGATATTGGCACCGCCCTTGCCGATGACGAATTTGTGGAACTGCTTGAAGATTGGTACCTCAATGATGTGTGATGACTCCTGTATCTCCTTAACTAGTTTCAGCAAATCTTTGTGGCACTTGTCGACATCCTCTTTCGGACCACGGAGCTTAACAATATCGGTATTTTCTTGAGGACTTGGTATGGTGATAGTAACTTGACGATAGCGATCCTTAATCTCACGTATCTTCTCACCCTTGGCACCAATAATCGAACGATGCAAACGGCGATCGATGATAACATCCTTTGACTTTTCATTTTCCAGTTTATCGATTTTTTCTTGTAATTCAAGCTGAGCCTGTTGAACGCCCTCCTTCGGACCTTCAATACGTATGGTATTCTGACCTTCACGCTCTTCAATATATATGTTTACGTTCAGTTCGTCCTTTAAACGATTCACGTTTGCGCCAGCCTTACCAATGATATGCTTATAGTAGGATGGATTCACGGTCATCACCGCATACGTATAGTGGTCCAAGTAGTTGCGCACAATATCGTTGAGATAGTTTGTTGCTTGGTCAACACGTTCTGGATCGCCTTCTAGTTTGATTTTATCGTCCAGACAGAAGACATTCACATTCGGGCATTCCTCCTCCAGTTGACGCATATTGGCACCTTTGCGCCCGATAACATACTTATGCGTCCAGTTTGGCGCTTCGATCTCAACTGATTTAACAGAGTTGGCCTTTTGGTAAACAACGGTCAACGCATTGCCCAAGGCCACTTGCGGTCCGCGCAAAGTTATTGTCTCCAATGGCGAATCCGTGGGTGGCATCTCAACTGAAACTCCAGTGATGCGAAGAATATCCGCCAACGTTGAACCTTTCGGACCGATCACATAGCGATGCTGCGACTTCGCAACTTCAACACTAACAGTGGAGCACTTCTTTTCCATCTCTTTATATATGGCTTCCACCTTGGCTTTTGCATTGGCTACAGCATCTTTCTCGCCCGAAATTACAATCTCGTCCTTTTGTACCGACTGTGGTGGCACATTGACCTTCGCGCCAGTTTCCTCCATCAACTTGGCGAGATTTTCATTATTGGGGCCAACGATAAACGGATGATACACTTTTGGCACCGAAGTGCGGTCCGTGCACTTCTTATTCTGTTCAGCCGACAATTGGCGGATCTCTTGCTCGGCCTTTTCAACGCCCTCTTTAGTACCTGAAATTGTGATGACATCACTCTCCTCCGTTTGGGTGGGAATATTGATGCGTGTTGCGGTTACACGCTCTAGCTCGTGCAAGCGGTCGCCGCGTCTACCAAGAATGACTTTATGATGTTCTTTCGGTATCGAAACCTGTTTGATAGCTTGCATAGAGAAATGCATCAAAATGCGCCGACGTGCATCCAGGATTTCGTTTTGCTTGCCCTTAATCAAGAAGGTCAAAGATTGATTCTTGCCAGTTGCGATTTCAATTTGAGCGCCTGTATCTTTAGAAATTTGCTGACAGATACGTTTCGATTCACCCTCACCAAACTTGTCGGATTCAGTGGTTTTACGTTCTTCGCCAGATACGTGCAGCACCTAATGAGAGCACATCAAACATATGTATGTAAATATAAACGTGAAACATTCTAACACTTCGTTTTGGCAATTTTTGGTGCTTACCTGAGTTTTTTGCGATGTTGTTACCCGCACACATGCTGGGGCAGCGTTACTGCTAAGTGGTGCAGAGGTATTCGCTGGCAATGCCGGGAACAAGTCATCATAGCTAAAAGTTGGTGTTGGATTGCTGGTGGTGCCGCTATTGGTGCTTGTCGGCGTAGCGACTGAAGTGGGTGAAGACGGTTGCTCGAGCTGGGCCTGCTCTTGTTGGTTGTTGGTGATAGTGGTAGTGTTGATGGGTTGCTCAACGGTATCTACTGCAGTAAGAAAAAGTGTAATTTAGAATTTAAACGAAACATGATTTATTCTGTATGCACTTATTTAATACGAACCGTTTGATTCTTCCATCACTGCTGCTTGCATTACTTAAAAAAGAGAAGAGTCCTTTTTCGTTCCAAGTCGTTACAGTACCACTAGAAAGGCAATAGAAATTGTATTTCAGCATTCGAACGCTACCAATTTACAATTAGTGCATACTTATAGTCTAAAAAGATATTTGCCGCACTAAACTGCCTAAATCAATTACCATTGAAAGTTAAAAAACAAAAAAAAAGAATCTGACTTCATCTTCATCATCACTTTCACCATCAGTGAACTTAAATAAAAATATGTGTATGCTAAAATAGTTAATAAAGAAAATCAAATACACTATTATAGTAAAGATGCCAATTAAACATTTATTGAATTTCACAAATCTATTTTGGGTACGGTGAAACGAAAACAAGTCTACCCTTACGCTTATATTTTCCATACCAAATTTTTATTACTTTTGTTTTCAAAATATAGTTCATTCAACAGCAAAACTACCATTTTAATTTCATACTCGGGAGAAAATGCAAGAAATTTTCAGCAAAATTTAAATTTTTTTTCTTTCATATATATTAAAAAGGATTGTGTTCATGCGACATGTTTAGCAACTTAATTAATGGGCTACAAAATAGTTTACTTATAATTTTTCCATGAATTTCAAAAATTTCTTCAAATTCAAGAAAAAATTTCGCTACTAAATTTTTAAATGTGTTCTTAAAACTTGCAAAGAAATTTGGGAAAGAAATATCACCGTTTTAGTTTTTAAGAGTAAGGTGGGAGCGTAGCACAGAGCGAGACCGAGTCTTACTTACAAAACCTTTCATTATTAAAACTTTGTAGAAAACTACAAAAAAATTCAACAAATTTACACCTAAATTTCAAACTTTTTTCTCAGAAGTGTTCAAATTTTTTTGAGTACGCAGTTTTATAGCCTATTCAATTTTAGTCTAACAATGTGCAAATTTGAAGCGCCTGAAAATTACCGTTGATTAATTCGAATTTTTTTCGCTGAAGGTGTTGCGGGTTTCTTCCATATAAAAATAAATTGTGTTTTATTCGTTATATGGAAGCAAATGTGACAAGAAGAAAATTCTAAAAAACCAACGGTAATTTGTAGCCACTTAAAACTTTCACATTATCAGACTAAAATTGAATGGGCTATAAAACTGCGTACTCAAAAAATTCTATCACTTCAGAGAAAAAAGTTTGAAATTTAGGTGAAAATTTATTGAATTTTTTTGTCGTCTTTTACAAAGTTTAAAAAGTGGGCTTATATGGGTCCTACTTATTATGGGCCCTACTTATTATGTACTTCATGTAAACCAAGTTTTCCAAAAAAAAATGTTCCAGTAGAGGTGTGGTGTTGGGAACGATAACGCGTTTCTAATATCATTGTTCTACATAATAAAGCGTGCCACACGATTCTATTTCCTGCCAACTGACGCCTATTTTAAGCGCCAAGCATATATATTTTTAATTAGAAGTCAGTTCAGTTTTTTCGTAAATCGTACACAGTACCCATACATACATTTTGCTGCATTATCTGGCTTCATTGTATATATATCCAAGCGAGTATCTAATCTTATCAACCTACATTTGTAAGTGAATAGCAATTTGAAATACGTCTCAATTGTAAATTAGTGACTGATAAGAAAAAAAAAAACACTTTTTTATTGCATGTATAATGTAAGGGAATATGATAAGAATATAAAATTTGTTTTCTCCGGAGCACTGCATCCAAAGATTGCTTAGCGTTCCACCGTCAACTATATAGAGGGTTTCGACTGATAAGGAAATATTCTGAGATAATTGACGCCGAAGCATATTTACATACATACATATACAGGCGTGATTGGGCAAAAAACATAAACTTTTAGTTCGACGCAGCTGTACACGAGGTTTATGTAAGTTAAATAAATTTATGAGCTATAAAAATGCCGGCGATAAGACTTAGGAAAGAATGGAGTCGAATGAATAAAACGCCACTAGTTGAAATTTAGACACGTCACGTCTTCAGTCATTCTATTTTGTATTATTTTTTTTTTTCAATTCTTAACTATTCTCACGTACTTGGTGTCATTACATGCTAGGGGAAAAAATCGACATGATCCATGCGATGTCTTTAATGTTTTACTTCCGTAAAGGGGAAATTAAAAAAAAAATTTGTAAAATTTATAGTGATGATGCTCTGAAGAACCGTCAGTGTTAAAACTAGTTCAAGAAATTCCACTCAGAAATCCATGTTAGACGACACGAGAGATTGCAGAACACAGTAATACGAAACGGAGGTTTATGTTGTAATTGTTGTTACAGCATACAAATTCCCCAAAGAGTGTCAGTCCTTGTCCAGATATGAATCTGGGTAGTTCCGGTTACGTTTACCTGACTATGGTGGAAATGTGGAGGTTTATGTCCCCGTATTTGATGAAACTAATAGTAAATTAAAGTTTCCACCTCCCATATCAAAATTCCCTAAAGAAGGATTAGCCTCTATACATTTTTTTCTATACGTATTTAAAATTGGATATTTGCCTCTGGAATTCTTCTGGATAGTATTGGTATCTTACAGTTTTTGAAATCTATTTTTGATGTTTGTTATGTTACGAAGATATTTCGTTATTTATGTAATTATACGTATTGCATTATCAAGAGGAAAATGTTTATGTTAAATGTTCTATATGCTAAATATTTTGATATTTTGTGTATACATATCGTCGTTTAAAGTACAAAACCGCGTACCGTCATTCTGCAAAACCGCGTATCTGACATTTGCTGCCAAAAATTGGATTTGCTCACACAAGCTCTTGGCTCAATCCTAATCCATTCGTACTGAAATATACTAGCCAGAAATGCGATTGCTTTATAAAAAAGAGAACAATTTTGAAATATGCGTGTTTTTACTCTCTAGAAAACAATTTATGCAACAACCTCACTTGAAAAAAAAATTATAAGCTAACATTTTTTTTTTGTGGTATAAGGGGGGTTTACAGCAGTACTTATGAGAACAAAATAATGGAAATTTGAATTTGAATGAATGTCTGTGGCTTTTCCTTCGACGTTTGTGTTCGGACGTTACAAAAAAAGGAAGCAATTTTGATATGACCAACAAAGTCAGCGCCAATTGTAATGTATGGAGAACAAAATCTAAAATAATACTTTGAAGAAAAGATAATGAAGTTAACAATATGTATTATAAAACCAAACTAAAGGTTGGGTTAACTTTAAAACAATTGCATATGTGCGTTCGGGACGTTATGTTACGGACGTTACTCATTTTGCCGTTGAAAACAATTAGTTTTTTTAAATCGATGTTGTTGTATTTTATTAAAAGATATAGTGCTTAAAACCAAGGCCATTTTCGATACAAAAACTCGAGAATTTGAATTGCATGTATTTTTTCAGATTTTGGTTGACTATTTCTCTGAATCGCCCATATACATTAGACAGCATTTCTCCCCTTACAAAATAAAATCAGTACTGTTTTTCCAATGAAATTATAAAATATATTATATTTTATGACTTTCGCCAAAATATTTCGGAGAAATATTAAGATTTACGTGAGCTTGATCGCTTTGAAAATACCTCAAAAAATGGAGATGTATTTTCTCACTATTTTTATTTCTTTGCAAATACATAACACCATTTTTTTTTGTGCAAATATCAACACATCTTAATTCAGCTTGGAATGCCAGACATTCATTTTATCTTTCTCTTTCATAATCAGGGCTATCACAGAATCCATCGTAGTCCGATTTTTTCGTGGAACCTACGAAAGTGATCACATTTTGGTAGATTTCACGGATTCTGTGATAGCCCCACTTTGAATGTGATGAGGGATCGAACCCAGTTTGTGATTCTTACGTAGCGCACTGCTACGGACACGTATGGATGGAGTCTCTTCAGGTGGCAAAGCAATCCCTCCTATTCTGATATTTCTGTTAAATTAAATATAGTTTTTCTTCCTCACTACAATATTTTAGCTTTAAATAGTAAAATTAAAAAGCGATACAAGAATTCAATATATTCATTGCGTTATGAATGTCTGTTGTAAATTCAATGCCATTTTTACTCAAGGACATAGTTTAATGCGAATTAAAAAAAAAAGTCAAGTAATTTTATTTCATCGAATTCTGCTGGATCCATTAAATGCATAAATAATATAGCGATAAGAGCAAGCATTTAAACTCTAACATACATGTGTAAATATTGTAGAGAAAGAATGCCTCATTACATTAGCAAGTTGTAAGATCGATTTCTGTTTATGCCATTAATAGAAACCAACAACTATTGAGTTGTAGCAGCGCTATAGTAGTCGCCTCCCGCTTGGAAAAATCTTACGAAAACAATCAGTAATTCAGTGCGCAACGCAACGGAAAGTGGTAACAGGCAGCTAACCAGCCAACGCCAATTGGGGCCATCGTCATTGTGAGATTTCTTGCTTTTTATGCTTATGTATTTTAGTGTTTTTTTTTTTTCATATTTTAATTCTTGCTTTTTGAATGCCGAATGAAGCCAGCACCTCACCTAGCCCACATTTCTCTGTCTACAAATCTACAAAGATAGACAAGAATTTGTATGCAAACGGCACAACTGCAGCGCCGACACAACTGCAGCGCCGACACCGCTGCCGAACAACTAACTAACAGTGCTTAAAGGTAAGTAGTTGCTTTCAAGTTGGGGTACGAAAATGTGTCAAAAGAATGTGGTGGAGATATAAAGAAAAACCGGATAGGATCTACCGCCGTCATCGTCACCACAAGCAATACCAACACCAACAAATAACCGCCAACGACACTGGCCAAGCTTTCGTTCGGGCTATTCGGCCGGAGAAAAAGCGGTAGCGGTAGACGACACGGAATAGCGAAGCCGGTACAATGAACAAGTGAAGTGTGTTGGTGCGTATTTATGTATGTACATCTCTTTGAATTCAAGTTAACGTAGATCGTGCAGTCGGTCTGTTGGAGTAATTCGAGTGCTCCAACAGTAGACTGCAACAGGTAAAACCAACAAATTGTGTTTTTTTTTTGTTTTTTTTTTTTTTTTGAAGCAGACTAGTAAAACGTGTGACTGAATGCTTCTCTGCGTTTAACAGCTTCTTCCACTGATGGTATTAAGTATATTTTTCTTATTTTTTGCTGCTTTACCTGCATTCTTGTTTTGAGGTTTTCACTTTTCGAATACAGCTAAGGGATTGCTTACAAAAATAACTACAAATTCGTGCTAAGCGTAAACAAAAATAAAATAAAATAAAATCTTTTATTAAAAAGCTTTGTGCCTCTACGGTAATTTGTTTGAATCGAGATAAATTAAATATAATATAACTTCGTATGTACATACACATATATGTATTTTATATATTCATATACATAAATACAAATGTATACATATATGAATCACAATTGCAACTAGGCAGCCTCAAATTTGTAAGCATCGCATTTACCATTATGATCGCCATCGCCAACGTAGCGCTAGCAGCACCGAAAAAGACATTTTGTCGACGTGTCAGCTAGCGCGATTCAACACAATTTCACAAATTTGGAAACTTCTGATCGTAGCGATCATGGCAGCGACTGCGTGAAGCTACATACACAACGCGTCAGCAAGTGACAGCAGCTATTTTATTTTTCTTTTCTACTTGTTCATTGTGTATAGGTACAACAGTGTGTATATATTTTGTATTTAGTGCTACTCGTATTGGCCATATACGAGCCATATTTTAAACCTTATCACATGGCGTGACGAATAATAATAATTAAACTGACGATGCCGCATATTTTGAAGACAGTCGAAGCTGAGCACTTCGGATGCATATTAAAATATCAATATTTACATAAAAGTATCAAGTTGTATTGAACAGTTTCAGTGGCAGCAGATTGAATATGCATAGCCATTGATTGCAGCTCCTCCAGATGTGCTTTTTTCCTTCTAGCGGCAGCGCCGCGTTCTAACGAAGGCGCAGTGGGGCTTTTACTGTCATATGGGAGCATGTTGATCTGGGCTTGCAGCCGGCAATTTACGAATAATAATGCAAGTATTAAGCTTGTATTTAGGCGTCATTAGCTTCCTAAATCTCTTGAAGTTGTAAACGCATATGAGTTTTTATCCCATCGTAGCCCATATGTATGTGGGATCCTCTAATCAATGGCACATCTGGACTTAGCTCTTCCCTGTTGTTGTTGTTGTTGTTGTAGCGTCAACTAAACCCCGCTCGGGTCGGTTCATCCATTAACGTTGTCGTTTCAGCTAAGGGGAGGCCCAGGAAGTGCGAAACTTCAACAGGATCTGCCCATAGGGACAGGGGCGTTAGTTCTTCCCTGATACTATGTGGTTGTTGTAGTATCATAAAAATTTTCCAAAGAGTTTTTGGAGAATGACGCTGAAATGACAGTACTTGGCAGATGAGGCTGGGTCATTCCGTTTACGTAAAACCGCCAGTCACGGGTTGTTGTAGCTGCATATAAATTCCCCAAAGAGTTTTTGGCGAGTGTTGCTGGAGTGACAGGTCTGGCCAGATATAAATCTGGGTCGTTCCGGTTCCAGTCACAGGTCTCTATCTCCTCCATCATTTGCATTCTGTTGCTTCCTATCAGTTGCACCGTGTTGTCTTGTCCTATATTATTGATTTCCTCTAAACGTTTCCATACCATTCGTGATTTAATTTCACATGGATATGATAAGTTTAAAAGGGCATTCTAAGCGGTATATTCTGTGAATATGTGTGGTGGTGTCAAGATTATCATTATTAGATAGCTTTCTCAAGTAGTTCATCTGCCAATCAACCCCACAACTGACCCGAAATTACACTCAATATTTCCCTGAATGAATTTATTTCTTTCTAGCGTTCCGACCGTTATAGTTTGTGGCATTAATTGCTGCAATTAATCTGGAACGAGACCATTTTGATTCCTTTTTTCTAGGATCCCTGAACGGTCTCATATAAGGTGTGTCATGAGCAACTTCAATGTATAAAAACGCGCATAACCGTACCTCACCTCGCTTGATGTATCCGTTGATCTATAGGTGGCTAGACCATAGCATAACGAAATTGGTATTATTGGTTGACGTTATACTATGATCTATAATTTTCTCCTCCTAAAAAATTTAAACTTTTATTAGATTTATCCAGAAACATCTCGCGTGGTAATGATAATTAAAATTACAAATGATGGAGGGACAGAGTGAGTTAAGTTACCTAATGATTACTCTTGCTGTTGGTGTTGTAACTCTCATACCGACCACTGTCATAATTCAAACGAGTTGGTTGTTACATACTTTTAAGTAAGCCATACATGAAACTAACTTCTGACTCGATAGATAAATACACTAACTAATATCAGAGATTTTACCGTGATGACTTTAATTCGCTTCAACATTGCGCAAATGTGCCAGCTCCACACTGATCGCACATACTTAAGTACTTTCACCGTTTAAACCTGCAATTCATTTATCCCACCGATACCAGTTTGTCATTAATATAACTGCTTTATCTGACTTCATTTTTAACCAAGGATCATACCAAGGGCAATACCTACATATGTATGTATGCTGTGTAAACTCACAGCAGTGCTTTCATTTCAGTTTATAGACAATTATGAAGAATGGTTAACTTACTGTACTGTAAATTCCAAAAAATCCGGCCTATTTAACTGCTGCCTCTGTGAAATCCAGTTTGATAACTTGGGGTGTCCTCTGCTGAAAATAAATTAAATCGAAAAAAAAAACATTATGAAAACAAATAGTGATGAACTTTTTAGCTAGAGCATGCTCTACATGAATACATAAATGTAAAAGGAGAAAGTTGTTTGAATTCTTGTAACATTTCTTAAGCTCATCAATTATGCTGCAAATCTGTTCCATTGTGGTCTCTGCGTGTGGGCGCGTTGGTATTTTTTTTTATGTGGGTTGGAATTATTTAAACGTTGCATACAAAACTCCGCTTTACAAAATATCCTTTGAAAACGTGTGCCTCTCGTTTCACACCGTGTAACAAATATTTTTTTACATACATATATATGTACATATATATAAGTAGATAACTTTTATCAAACAATTTATCTTCAACTTAGCAGTTTTTTGCATAAATATCTTTCCATATTGTGCATAGCAGGGAATAATGCGATTTCATGATAAGAGGTGTGGAAAATGTGGAATATGCGTGGCAAATTACCAACATTAAACTGACTCAGGGAAAAAATGTACACAAAAATTATTAATATCGTCCGTCATACTTTAATAAACAGCTAATTAAGGGCAATATCAGTAATGCTGAAGCCTCTATAGATGCACGTATGTATATATATTAAGGCGTAAGTGCAGCACAATACGGCTTATCGCTGGATTTTCCTCAGACTTTTTATGATCGCGTGGCAAAATTAACTATCTCCTTACTGCAATGTATTGTAAACGGTACGACACTCACGACTTTAAGGAAAGTTAACTCTATATCACATCGAAAAAATGCAGTTTATTTCTCCTTCATTAGCAATTGCAACTTGAAAAGCAAGAATGAAAAGAAAAACGTGTTTTCCGCAGCATCGTTGTCATTAGCGCCGGCGTCAACGCCGACGTCGATTTCGACAGAATCAAAGTCGCTCGTCGTCAATGCAGCCAAAGCCGACAAAACTTCCACGTACAAAAACACAACAGTGTTGCCATTTACTTTTAAACTTGTAAATTCTACCATCCCACTTATCACTCATTTTTCTCGGCTATTTGCTATGGTTCCAGACTTTGAATGAAATTAACGAAGACCAGAAAATATCAATCGTTTCTAAGAAATTTCTTATCGCACTCAGTTTAGGTAATTGAATTGCCCACTCCGTTCATCAATTCCACATGCATTCTACTTTTATTTTTCGTGTTTGTATTTGTGTTAGCCCACACTCTGTCAACGTCGGCGCAATCGTTGTGCTGTCAACGTAACCGCACCAGTGCTTTTGACTTGGTGGCACATCACAAAAAACCAACCGCCGCTGCTGCGACGGCGGCCTCAATTTCTTTTCCTTTCACATCTTTCGAACCACATTTATACACTTTGTTAATATTTTCGGCAATTTATAACACCAGTTCCACTAATCTAAGAAATGTTTTAGAATTGTTCTTTATCTACAAACTTTAACTATATAAGTGCCTAGATTTTGGCTGCGCACCGTGCAACAATATCGAAACGTACCGATTCTTAGACGACCAAGTGTTAAATGATATCGTGATGTCGTGTTAATTTCTGAGTTTCTTGATTTGCTTCACATTCTTTTCTTGCACAGTGTTGCATTCGCTGACAGGAAATACTTGAGGGTAACTCTACAAATGGCGATTTTAACACATTGGCATGCCAAAATATTTCACTATAAATTGATAACTTTTTCGCATACCTAAAGAATACGGACCTTTGAGCTAGAGAAAATAGAAAAAGTGGACGTGGTGCGCCCCTTTCTGCTGAGTTTAATGATAAACTTTTTTTTGGTGCAAATTAACAGGGGCGGCGCTAGGGGGAGTACGCTAAGCATGGAATTTTCAACATTTTCAAGAGCTTATTTTCTAAACATGCACACAGTTGGAAAGGTCATTGAAGGACCTTTCAATCGATATATAGATCTATTTATATAATTTAAACATATAAAATGAAGTTGTGGCAATTTTTCTTATAAAAATACATACATACATAAAAAAAGTTGAATGGCTAAATGTTGGCAGACGACCAATTTTGTTTAAAGCGATTAGTTGAAAGGAGGTTCAACCAAAAGTAGCATGCAAAGGTAAACAATGAAAACGCTTTTTTATGACGAATATTTTTATATTTTTTTATATTTTGATATTTTAAGCCATCCATTTTTTCTCGTGCAACCCTGCGTGAGTTGAACGCAAAAGTTGCCTGAAAAATCGGCTCGTGCGAAAGCCCTATTACTCATACGCTCCGTCAAACAAATTAAGCTCAACTGTGCATATACGCTTGAAGGGTGTTCGGTGATGCTTGACACACCGGTTGGGTTTGGCTTTTCACAGAAAGTATGGAAGTATTAATAATACAACTTTCGTTCCTCAACTTTTCTGGATAAAACCTGTAAAATTTTCAAAAAGCAAAATTGATCTCAGAGAAAGAGAGTAAAACCAAAAAGTACTGGTAAAACTTTCAAATACACCGTGGAAGCCAGTTTTTGTTTACATAGCAGTTTATTTGTCATTAGCGATCTGCTAAATTATACGCAAATACACAAGGCGAATTAATATAAGGTGATAGCAGGAGCACAAAAACAAAAATTTACATGTATTTTGTTTTTGCTTTGGCGGCATAAACTGTCAAAATCTGTAAGAGTGTGTGTAGAAATTCAAACAAAATTTTTCAATTTGATATCAGAAGCCGCGCGGCGAAACACATACACAAAATCAGCTGAGCTAGTAACACCACCTTATATAAATTCGCCTTGCAAATACACAAGCAAGGCGAATTTATACAAGGTGGTGTTCAAGGCGAATTAAGATTTTCGTCGCGGTAATTCTTAATGCCAAAATCAAGGTGCATTAAACATCATGATTTATGGACATCAGCGTATAATTTGTTAGTGTAATTTTTTACTTATATACGGCCAACACCACCTTGTTAAATACGCCTTGGCCAAAATGGTGTGTTTGTTGTGCTATGAATTCGCCTTGTTTACAACAAACACATCATTTTGACATTAGGAAGTACCGCGGCGAAAATCCAAATTCGCCATTAGCACCACCTCGTATAAATTCGCCTTGTACACAAGCAAATTACCAAAAATACTTGCAAAACTTGATATTTCTTCGCCACGATATACATATTTAATATAGCGCAAACTCAGCTGTGGTTTTGGTTTTCCTAATTCAACTATCAAATGGTTTGAACAGATGAAAGGGCCCTTAAGGTCGGTTGTTCAATGCTTGATTTTCACTACTTCCCAGTTTAACATCATAATCGACGTTTCCGACATCATGCATATAATATTTGATCGATAAAGCAGTCGTTTTATTTAAACGGAGCTTCTACTTCCCATTTGTGTTAACCGGATATTAAACAAAAGGCTCTTAAGCAGATATTTGCCGTCATCGATTCGCCACTTCTCGCTCGCTATGTTTGAGTTCCGGTCGCTTAAAGAAGAATTTGGCATGTGAAAGCAACAACAAAGTAAGCTAGCTCGGATAGACGATAGCGAGTTTGGTTGTACCTCATTGAGTTCGTTCGTTTCGCCACTCGCTAACACCCGATTTACATGATTCAAGTACTTGAAAGCAATTCTTGCTCATTCTCTTTTGTGTTTTCTATTTGCTTTTACACGTTTCAATTCTGTTGAATTCAAGTTTTTGGTTCTTTAAATGGGAAGCAACGAAAATGCCAAAAGCAAAGCAAGAAAGTTTAAACGACTTGACGGTACAGACGCAAGTGTACTCGTCCCTTTTCTTCTCACCCCCTCTCTTCCCATGCGAGCAGAATTGAATTCAATACTTGAACTGTGTAAAAGCAGTCTAACTGTTGGCGAATCGATGATGGCTATTAAGTACGCGGTCCTCAAGGTTATATGAATGGAGTCGATAACGATGTTTAACTGTGGATTAATGTTAACCAGACATGTTGAAAACATCCTGGAATCGTGTCTTTACACATTCCTTATAACTGTAGTAGACCCTGTCTGCATTTTTGTTCGATACGTTTGCTCCTTACTAGGTTTGCCTGGTTTAAATTCCTTGAGCATCTCCAGAAACTGGTATTCTCTGACGCTATTCTTGGCCCTACCGCAAGTCATCGAGCTAGACGTACATATGTCCACTTACAGGAATCTCTGCAAACGCTGTTCGCAGGGTAGTGAGCTTATTACTAGAGGGCACAGGAGCCGCAGTGTTTGAAGTGCGATGTTCATTCCTTGTGCCATTCTTTTAATAGTGGTGGGTGCGATTGCACATGCTTTGTCCTTGTGGGCTTTCTGCCATAGAAGGAGTTCGGTGATGCGGTAGATGTAGTTGCAACGGCACAGAAATCCGTAGTAATCGGGTAAGACTGAGTATCTCCCTAGTGCCAGGTGTATGAAGCATCATGTTCTCGATTCAGGTTCATAAAGATGCCCAACCCTGACTTATCCTCAATACAGATGGCAACTTCATTCGCTTTATCGCTCCAGCTGTTTGAAGGTTTAGGCCGAGATCAAAAACTTAGCCAACTTCATTGCTCTTTTGCGAAGTTCCATCAGTTGTTTATGCCAAGTGTGAACAGTTTCCCCCCTACTTTGTCCTTCCTCTTTTTTATTTTGTGGAGGCGCTTGCATTGTTGTATACCCATTGACAGCAAGAGCTATCAAAAGTTAAAATATTCTAAATGCTCTAATTTTCCCACAATATGTAGCTGTGGTTGTGGTTGACATTAGGGTGGTACACTATGGAGGTAGGAACTGAGTGCAGTTGGGTAGGTACTAGAACGGGATACTTGAGGTCAATTACCTTTAGAACAAAAAATATTTCGCCTCAAAACACAAAAACTTCGATATATAATACTTTACGATGCGACTGTAAATGCCGACGATATGACGGAAAATGTAAGAGCCCTTTGTACGTTCGGCCAAAAGAAATACTTTTTTCGGAATTGCCTTGCAAAAATACTTTAGTATCAGGGGTGTACGTAGAGTGCATCCATATATTTTTTCTCTACTTATGTATACATACATATATATGTACAGTGACTCAAACAAATGACCACGTGTTGATTTTTTTAAATATTCGTGATGTTGTTCGAGCTAAATATTTTTTGTTATTTTAGTATAAACTTTGACCAAAAACATATAAATTACAGTTTCAAACTGTATAAAAAATTTAACAAATTTTCATCAAAATTTCAACTTCATCTGAATATTTAGAAAATTTTTGGGTATGCCGGTGAAAGCCCATAAATTTTTAATCTGATGAAGTGCTAAAGAGACTGGTTTTGCGGTGTTTTTATAACAAGTGCAATTTATAAAAAAAATGGCGTTGATGCCTTGAAATGTTGTTGCTAACGGTCTTTTATTCATAAGGAATTCATTTTATTTTATAAGGAATTCATGCTCATATGGAATAAATTGCAAAATTCCGTCACAAAAAAAATTGAAACTTGCACTTCATCAGACTAAAATGGTATGGGCCATAAAACTCCATACGAAAATTTAATCTTAAGATTCATTTGTATTAAAAAATTGAAATTTTGATGAAAATTTGTTGAATTTTCTTAAATTTTCGTTAAAGTTTGAACAGTGTTTTTGTAGAAAAATACAAAAAAATGTGCCTCGAAAACATCACGAATATTAAAAAAAAAAATAAAAATCAATACGCGGTCATTTGTTTGAGTCACTATATGATTTGTAAGTATGTACTAAATACTACATGAAGTAAGATGTTTATGCTTTTTATTGAAAGTGAATTTTCTCGTGTTTCAAAATCTAAAATTAATGATTGCACGGTATTGCTTGAGTAGAACTGTTGAAGCGTGAAAATTACACATGCAACACACAACAGTCTTTTAATAAAGTACAAAACGATTCTAATATTCCAGTCAAACTCTTAGAAAGTTAACAGAAAGTGCGGTTAAAATGTATTTGCTCACATTCCTCTTCCTTTGCAATATTTTCTTTTGGGGAAATGTCGTCACTGTGCTAGGACAATTTAATAGTAATAAATACATATAATACAAAAACAAAAAATATTAAATTAAGTATATATTTACAGTGACACTTTACAAGGAAATGCCCCCATTGTATCAATTTGATGACTACGATCAATGCCTCCGATTCAATGGCGACAGCTCCTTCACTAAGGCGACGTACTGTGTCGTGTATGCGGAAATTGTAGCTAATAAATCTTCAACTCTTTGGAATGAAATTTCCAGGATCTCTTTGGACAATCTGCATCACTTCAGGCATGATCACTTGTTTTTTGGAGTATGCCTACAACGCTGTAAGAAACTACTGAAACCATTCGCCAAAATCCGTATTAACGAGCTATCACAAAATGGGGACATTCAGGATATTGAGGTTGGTTCTAAAATTAGGTATCTACATATAGGCATACATACATATGTACATTTATTTATATGTGCGAAAACTTGTGACATCAAACCAAATTTCAGCTTCTTAATTACTACATTAACGTACATAAACGCGAAACTGACAAACGTGTTCAGCATGGAAAAGTTTTTAGCAGCTGTCTAAATTATGAATTTCAGAAAAGATATGGACTAAAATTGCGTACAAGCGTTGAGTACTGCGAGGAAGCGCAAACACCATTGAAACATGGTAAAATATTTCCTCGATTATTTTCAATAGAGATATGTAATTATACGTAAAATGGAAATATCGTTTATTTGCAGATGCATTAGACATCGTGATTTATACCATCTTCGGGATAATATCTTTGTTTACCATTTTTTCAACCATGTATGATTATCGTTTGAAGACAAAACAACCTCTGAGTAATCAGAATAACGAGTTCTATAAAAATCAATTTGCGAGCCCAGGTAATTTTTTGTATCGAGCCAAACTTTCTCCACCAAATACAAAAGTTTCGAAACTACTCGAACAGAATGGTAACGATTTCAATTTTCGTTCGATAAAAAGTAATTTTGGCGTCGATACTTTTGAATCAAGTAGTAGGTATCGAAAAAAATACTCGTATCGAAACCCGATACCAAGGCGATTTTCTTTCGGAATTTCTTTCTCCACTAATATAAATCGTCCAGTGCTTTATGGCTTTTTAAACGTCAGCAACCTTCAAATATTGAAGACGTAAATTTTCTCCTGAAACCAGAATGAAATGAACTTTGTTAATAGATATTTTTGATGATATTTGATATTTGTGTTTCCGACAGGGTGGGTGTATGATGTATTTTGGAACGAATTTCCAAACCAAATTTGACAAGGGATGCCGGAAATTCGTTCCAAAATACATTTATTTAAACTTTTAAAGTTTACGACATACAACAATAAGTTACTTAGGACATCGTTGTGAATACCTCAATCGAAAATTCAGCTGCTAACAGCGCCATCAGACTGCGTGTCCTGGGGTTTTGAAAGGAAAGACCGTTCGGCCACGGTTCCATCCTACACGTAATACTGCCAGAAATTAAGGCGTTGCCCACTGACTAATATCCTGTCAAAGGCCTGGGTTTACCATAAACCCCGCACGAAATTCCCAAGCCGAAGTGACTGGAATCAGGAAAATTTCGGGTGCTGGCGCAAGGGTTTTCATTGAGCAATATAACCTAAAGTCATCCTTCCGCCTACCAGCCTACATATGCAAGCGTTTTCCAGGCCGAAATGTTTGCTATTAAGGAGACAGTAAGGTTTTAGCCGCGAGAAGGTAAGTTAACATCCTCTCGGATAGCCAAGCGGCTATTCAGGCACTTTTTACTACCTCTGTAAGATCTCAACTAGTGGATGAATGTAGGAGAGAGCTGGCCTATATTTTTTTCTGATCAATACAAAATTACCCTAATATGGATCGCGGGACATAGGGGCATCTCACCTTGCGGTGGACATGGGCGCCTCGCTAAGGGAGATTAAGACAAAAATTACCGAAATTTATCATTCGTAGGCTAAGCAGAGGTGGAACTGCGCAGGATCTTACAGGATTACCCGGTAGTTCTGGGTGTCCTGCGACCCATTAAAAAAACCAAAGCTGTCTTAGGAATGAGCAAAACCGATGCCCGGACAATAGCCCGTTGGGGTGCATGCCGAAAGGATAGGACTGCCCTTCAATAGATTATGCCGCAGTATCAATGACCCGGGCTCAAAAGAGACAGTCGAACACTTGCTGTGCGAGAGTCCAGGCCTCGCAAGGATGAAGCTAAAGACACACGGCAAACTATTCCTGCGGAATATTTCAGAGTGCAGCTGCCACTCTCTGTATGACGTACTGGAATTTATTAAAGCGTCTGTAGGTTGCACGAGTTGTGAAATGTCGGTTTAGATAAAGACCTGATTATTTATTAAATCTCGCTTACGCAAACTTTGAAGTTACAGGTCTTTAAATGCTCTTACCATTTCGCCCGCGTATGTTTAGTTCAGAGTTGCTGATCCTGGTCGTCAAGGGGGTTTGCTGGAATTGCTAATTGGGATGTATGCATTTGCGTGATTTATAAAGTTGGCATGAAATGCCAGCCAAATTAATCTTAACTGCATAATGCAGTGTTCCAAAAATAGGTACACATTACACATCTAACTCTCTGGAATGTAGGAAACCCATATATGGGCGGTTTAGTTTGTACACAAGTGGTACTAAACTTGAAAATGGTAAATCTAAGCTGCCAAAGTTTGGACGAGGTTGAAGACATCGATAACAATGGGTAGCTATTCCACCATCTTTAAAGCGAAGATTCAATAGAAATTTGCAGCAGAAAATACCTTAGAATATGCAAATTCTCGAAATATATCTGCATTATGTGAGCGAATCAGATAGCCCTAATGACACTGAATGAAGTCCCACAAAATAAATGCTAAGCTAAACGCCCTTGAAGCAAGAATTCGGTTTTATTAGAATGGTTAACGAGGCATGAAGCACTTAACGGCAATGAGGCGAAACAAGGAGCTACCGCAGTATTTCATGGTCCGGAACCCTTTTGCGGGATCATAAATAAGTGGGTAGACAAAATGTTAAGGGATGAGACAGGTCACATGGTTTATGTTCATCCTTCAAGCCTTCGATGGGTACTACGCTATCACCTTAGTAAAATTCATTTTTCAGAAACAAACGTCTGACACTTTTGCGAATTTTTATCCGCTTTAAATTTGCACTCATTTTACTATGTTGAATTCCATAAGCCATGTAACCCAAATGTTTTCTAAAAACTCTGATTAAAAAGTTGAAAAAATTTGTTGAATTTTTCAAAATCTGTGTTTATTAAAAAGTTCTATCTATATGGTTTTGGTTACAACATGAAACATATTTCCTTTTAAAAATGTAACAAAAAAAATGTAGCTTGAAAAACATTGCAAACATTTAACAAAAATTACCAAGCACTCAGTTTTGATGGCCAGTGAATGTAGGTATAGAATACACGAAAAAGTTATGGTAACTAAAAATCGACGGTGATGAAAATTTTAAATTTATTTGATATCTTTATTGTTTTTCTTTTTTTTTTTGTTCTTAATATTTTCACTTTTCAGCTCAACAAGTTTTGCTCTCATTCTCTATTTGTCGAAATTTCTATCGCATCACCGATTCTACGAAAACACGCAGTCAAACTGTAGAGGATCTTAAATTCTTCGATGGTCTACGTGTAATAGGCGTATTTTTGGTATTATTTGCACACTCTTTAATACTGTATATGGCTCTACAAATTGAGAATCCGGAATTTTTCGAAAAATTTTTCTATCGACCAGAAACGGACATTATTGAAAATGGCGCTGCTATAATACAAATATTTTTTGTTATGAGTGGATTTTTATTATACGTTAACTTCAATGAAAGAAAATTGATCAACACCAACACAACCATACGCGATTGCATAATTGTCTACTTCAAAATTTTCTTCCATAGATATTTGCGGTAGGTAATTGTGTCTGCACTTTTTTAGAATTGAATTAAGTTTATTACAATTCTCTTATTTAAAAGGCTTTTACCGTCTCTAATTATGTTGATTCTTTTTAACTCAACCATACTTGCACGATTACAAAATGGACCATATTGGAGGCATTATGTGGAAGCGGAACGGGTGTTTTGTCGCGAATATTGGTGGCAAAATGTTTTTTTCGTTAATAATTACCTTCTTAGGGAGAGTGTGAGTAATCGATAATGACTTAAGATCACAGAAAAGTTAATATGAGGGTCACTAAAAAGTCCTTAGAATACCAAGGAAAAAAATCATATTTTGTCAGTAAAAATGGGTTTCCAAAATATTCTTCAGCATGCTTTGTACAATTTTGCCTACACTCAAACCAATTGATGAAACATTTTTCCCGCGTTTACGCATTTCTGATAAATTTCTCCAATGATTTCTCTGGATAATCTTGATAAACTGAAGCCAAGGCAACTCTGTCGCATCTTGAAAACACTCCTTTTGGGACTTAACCAAACTCCGCCTAATCATTAGTATCCATACATGGTCGTAAAATTCCAATAGGATTTTTATCTATCTCATTATTATATACTCGGAACTGTGGGACTCAGTCACTTACTCTAAAATCAGGTGAACTAAGATCCTCAGCGTCGGAGCGTTTTAATTTTTTGCTGGTTAAAACTCGTTAGGTGAATTAGGGCCGGTTGTTCAATGTCTGGTTATCACTACTTGCCGGTTAAACATCATTATCGACGTTTTCGACATAATGCATATAACATGTGATCGATAAAGCAGTCGTTGTATTTAACCGGAGCTTCTACCTCCGATTTGTGCTAATCAGGCATTGAACAACCGGCCCTTAACGGCTGTCACTGTAGTTCCTGGATGTTCGGCAGCCGGACGGGCAGATTTTTTTTGGTTTAAAAAAGTTCGTCATTTTTACGGAATGCATTCGGAACGTAACACTTTTTGTTTTGGCGATTCACGGACATTGAAAATACACTTTATCTTACAAATAGGTAAATTAATTTTATCTTAAAATATGGATCAGTAACACCGCGTTCACGTTGAATCCCCAAAACCCCTGCCTGTGTTCGCTCCTGGGGCACACGATTACTCGAGTAAAAAGTGGGGTATCTTAACGAAATTTGGTAAATGTATTTCTTTTCAGCAAAGGACGGATGGCATTTAAAATGGGAATATAACCGTAGTTTGCAAAAATACAAAAACTGCACTAATTTAGTCACTACTGAAGCTTACTCACTGAAAATTCCTAATTACACTGACCTTTTGTGGGAAGATAGGAATATACAATTTTGGAAAAGGGGCGTAGCCCCGCCCGTAAAAATGAAATAAAAACTACTTTCTAAAATAAAATATTTTTTATTTATATTTATTTATAAATGATTAATAATAAAATATAATCTAAAATAATTTTATATTTAAATAATTACATTAAAAAAAATTTATAAAAATTAATTTTTATTTAAATCGCCCACTTACAGCTGTTCTTCTTTCCTTCTTTATTAACACTGTAACCGCCTAAGCAATTTTGGCCAAGTCCAAAAAGCCAAAGGTCAGATCAACTCAAATAACATTAGTATTGCGGTTTTTTTAGTGACCCACGTAGTACACAGACCTCCAAACGTTTTCATACTTAAGTTAAAATATTTAATTATTTTAATTATGTAAGTATGTATGTATGTATTTTCATTCTACTTACATTACTGACGAAATTGACATAGTGCTCACACCATACATGGTATCTCGCTGCTGATATGCAACTATTCGAATTATTTTTGATAGTTTTGATCGTAATAACCAAGTAAGTACATACATATGTATGTATGCACACATATGTACATAACTATTTATTATTTAAAATCATTTACCAATTACGTTATTTCAGATTCCCCCGACTACGCATCGTCGCATATGCCATCCTCTTCGTATTGACTTTTTCTGTTACTGGTTTAATTACATACTTTCTAAAGCTCAAGCCTATATATCATACGACCCCGGAGTAAGTCCTAACAAAGTCATTGAATTAGTTCTTCTACAGAGTACTTTTTATTTAAATATAGAAACTATCGCTATATGTTTTTCCGAAATGCTGAAACTTTTTATCAGGCATACACCCCGTTTTACACTAATATTGGAGGTTACTTTTTCAGCTTTATAACTGCTGAGTTATATTTGAAGTTAAGGCATAAATCCGAACGATACCGTGGATTACTAAGTTACGAAATCGGTTGGTGGCTCATATTTCCGATTTCTTTTGGTTTACTCTTTGGCGCAGGATTCTTGATGTCGTTGGAATTTGAGCAGCCTTCAGTTTGGGTAGCTTTATTTGCAAGCCTATATCGGAATATATGGGTTCTGATTTGCTGTGGCGCAGTTTTAGGCATGTGTCTAAAATTGGGTTGTAAGTTTTTTGTTCCTCACTTAAATCTACATACGTACATATATTATTAGTTGCGTTCCAGATGCTTCACGATTTGCAGGTTTTTACAGGAAGTCGTTCCAGGTGACCATCTCCCATAAGGTTTATTAATGGGGAAAACAGCTGTTCCTGCAAATCGTGAATTTCGTGAATATCGTGAAGCATCAGGAACGCAACTAATATTGAGAAGACACTCGCTATCGGGAAACATTTATAACAAACTCAAAATAAAACAAAAACAGCTCAATTTTATTATGATCAAAAGAAAGCGATAATCGCGACCACGGTTATATGCCGAATTGGAACTTAATTTTAATTTAGAAATAAAAGACACTGATTATTTGGCTTGATGCATTTCTGAACACAGCCGTTATAATTAGGGCAGAAAAACTCGGCAAAAAATAGCAATTTTAAACGATTATATAACCACTAAATTCCAACATTGATAAATACTTATGCTCGAAAAACAGCGAACAAAATTAGGTACATTTGAGTGTTTACTTTTTTATATTTTTTTTTTTTGCAATAATTAAAAAATGTGTTGCTGGCCATTCTCAAATAGTAAAGGTCGTTTAAGAACGTTGGGCAGACGTGAAACGATCTTTCGACATCCACTTACATGTATGAGTGGACAGAATTTAATATTATATATGGTAAGATTTACGTGAGCTGGACCCATTTAAAAATAAATGCAAACATTGTATCAGCGGCATGAAAGTAATGCAAGTTTTGGAGCTATTTTTCTAGCTCATGTAAATCTTAAATTTTTTTCGAAATATTTTGCCGTGAGTCTTAAAATTTAATAAATTTTATAAAAATTTTGGTGAGGCACCCTAATGTACACATATCTGTAAATCTAATAAACTGCTTATAATTTTTTTATTATAGGGATTGCATATGAATTTTGCTGTCTTCCAATTCTGCGCATATTTTCAAAAATTTCATATCAGGCATATCTCTGGCACTTGGTCGTACTGAGGTTAACGGGCGGTTTCTATAGGCAACCAATTTATATTAATCGCTTTTATTTGGTAACTCCGCATAAACATTTAAATTAAAAATTAGTAGCATAACAACTTTATTAAATATTCCAGATCAGTCAGATTATAGTTGCATTTTTTCTAACGCAACTTATCGCTTTCGCTTTTGCGTTGTTTGTGGAGTATCCGATCGCAGAAATAATTAAATGCATACTACCATATTACAAATCTGAGAGAAAACAAAGGAAAAGAGATATTTACACCTTGAATTAGAGTCCCTTTTCTCTGTGTTGTAAAGTATGTTCAATAAAAAAATAAAAATTATATAAAATTATCAAATTATCATATATAGCTTAAATTTTTTACTACTACAAAAAAACCTTCGTCAATGCAAATTCAGGGCAACTGAGAGGATCTTAAGTATAAAGTTTGTTTACTGGCGCAAAGAGAGAAATCGACTTCTAATTAAAATTTTTGGAAGTGAACTCTAAATTAAAATAATTTTAAAATGAAATGTAAAGCATTATTTGACTACTTAAACACTGATATATGAAATGATCTGATTATTGCTATTCAACAATGTTAAAAATATTTAATAATTGATTGGCTCCTGTGTACAATAATATAAGGGTATTTTACACGACATGTTAATGTGCACACTCATGTTAAAATGAATAACATTTTTATTTTTTATGAGCTATATTTTATTTATTTATCAAAGTATTGTTGAAAACAAGAACTCTGGCTTTTAAAGTATTTCCTGTTACTTATATTCAAAATTTTGCTTTGAATAAAAGAATACTGAAAAGCGCTGATTTTAATAGCATGAAAAAGTGCAAGGTACTGATTTCGCGCAAAAAAAAGATCTGGCAGCCCTAGTGATAACATCAAGGCGCACGGCACAAATCGGAGGAAAAGCCCGGCCAAATACTAACATATTTTGTAAGCGTCAATTTATTATTATTCGTTGCTAGATTTGATACAAACTATTAGTCTGTTCGAATAGAAAAATATCCAGCAGTAACTTGCAGGAGAGTAACGAACGATTATCTCTCAAACTGGAAAATATCCCAAAAAGTACGCGAACGCAAAATTAGCAAAAATCTTCGAGGTTTTTAGAACAGCTGATCGAAATTTTGTTTACGTACAAACGCATGAAACTGAAAACATGAAGAGAATATAAATTAAAAGTCTGCCTAAAGCTATTTGCTGAGCAAATGTAAGTAAATGAGTAGTTGCTTCATTCAGAAACATTTTCAGTTCTAATAAGTTATTTTAAACTTAAAAATCATCCAATTAAATAGTATCATTCAAAAACTTTTCCAGTAAGTACTTGAAGCGAGAGCGTAATAGAAAAATAGAGAGTAAAATTGAGAGGAAAAGAAAATTATCAGAAAAAGCTATTGAACGCAAAACTAGTAAAAACTTGCAACTTATGCCATTTTGACACTTTCTGATGGATAAGTTTTGACGCGCAATTTTCTTTTTGATTAGTCATTTAATTAGTTTTGATCGTCATATAAATGAAAAAAAATATTCTTTACATTTAAATTGTTCATCCATATTTTCATTTCACTAATTTTGTTTCATCAAATCTTAAACAGTTAGTTTACATATTTGAATTTGAAGCATAACCTTACTTTTTGACAGTTGCAAGTTCCTGCTTGGGTTTTGGGTTATTCAATGCATTTCCAGTAAAAACTTGCAAGTACTAGTAATAATTTTTTGATATTGAATGGACCTAATTTAATTTTTTTCATATATTGCAAACAGATGACTTTGATCAGCTGTTTTTGTTGCTGGCAAATTTGTCCAGCGGGAATTAGCAACTTCCCCTCCAAGTCAACCGTACGCGACCGCCAAAACCTAATAACTTGCAATAAATATCAGCTTGCCGAACAGACTATATAACAGATCCTAGTATAACGACAAAAAAAAGCTGAATAGAGGCAAAGGTTTATTTCACTTTATTGTACTTTTGCATTGAAATCAAATGCTTCAATTTTTCCCTTTCAATTGAGTTTCAATTTTGCTTTCAATTTTGATCAGCTTTTCAGCATTGTCATGCCAATTTTGTGAAAATAAAAGAAGTACTAAGCTAATGCATGCTAAAATGTAAATCTACAATAGAGTTAAAATGGAAAATGGTCTTCAGAAGCTAGTTGGTTACATTTGTTTCTTGAAGACGGCATGTTGATAATGAAATTGCTTCTCTAATTGAATGCAGCCTACGTAATGGCTTTCAATTTTGATGATTTTTGACAAGCAATGTGTGTAAGGAAATTGAAAGGCAATACTGATTGTGTGTCGTCAGCGTAGAACGTAACAATTTTCTTTTTTTAAAATTAAATTCAAAGTAATAACTTATGTGTACCTTTTACTACGACTCTCGATTTTTTACTACGATTTTTAATTTTTTCTACGATTTTTCTGGGGTTTTGGGACCAAACGGTTTCGTGAGGTGCCAACCCTGGTTGCGCCTATCTCGTACAACTAATCCGTAGTAGTGGTAAACTATCGATAGACCCGACTATCGATAGTGGGCGATATCCCTGCAAAAATCGTTGGACCATGTAGTCTATTTGTGGTATATTGGAGTACTTACAAAGTCATTCCTCTGTCATGCTGTAGCGGACCAGCTTGTTTCTCTGCACCTGCCTATTGTTACCCGATCACTGCTCGTGTTTTAACGAAATGTGATTGAAGTTGAGTATTTGAAAGCTCATTTGCATGTCTGGCTGTAGCTGAACGTATAGAGAAGCTCGCTATTAGTTGTTAGCTCCCAGCATGTTCGGGTTCGAATGCCGTCAGAGGCAACTTGTAATTTTTAATTTTTGTTTTTTATTAATTACGAAAAAGCATCTGAGAAGTGAAGAACAAAAGCTTGCACAAACGAAAAAATATAACAACGCCATTGTTAATATGTTGGAGTAGTTTTGTGCTACTCTGATGTTATGCAGATCAAATGCAGACATCACAATGTTAATTGGACTATATTTTTTATATGAATTGTGGTTAATTTTGGAGTACGCCTTGGTCCTTATGAAGTGCTGTTTACACGCATGCATGGAGTAGTCGCGTTTTTTGCAGGGATTTTTTGTAAACTATCGATAGTCGGATAGTCGCCTAGGAACTTTCTTCGATTTTACTGGATTTCGCCCACAGCATCGATGTTAAAAAAATCGATGTATCGATGCCAGAATCGATTTCTTTGCACCTCTACCAGTGATGGAAAATCAAAATTTTAAATTGTGCTAAATTTTTAAGAAAGATGTGCCTAAATGCAGGTCATTGTTCTAATAAATTGAAATTCGGCGATATGTACCATTTTCTTAATAAATTATATTTACATTACTTAGTGCATATAAGAAAAACAGAAATATCACCCAAAAATTTTTTATATGCATTATTTCTCTTATGAAGGGTACGCTTAATAGAAAGATCCATTTTAGTATATATTATGAATAATCTATATTTTAATAAAATGTATTTAATCACAGACTAGAAAAAATATTTAAAAGTATTTCACTTTTTTTGATGAATTTTCACAAAGTTATTGGAAAATTTCAACTTTACAAAACAAAACGTAACAAAAAGTGTGTACATACATGTACATGCATGTATTACACGTAAACAAATGTCCCAGGCACGCTGAGCAGTGCAAAACAAGCCACTTTTCGATTAGCTGGGAAGCAGACAGAAAATGGGTAAAATAATTCGAAAAATATGATTTCTATAAATTTTTGTACGGGCTATCCGATGGTTCTATGCGTTTTCCTAAATTTTTCAATTTGCATAGTAAAAATTCTAAACGATACTTTATCTGTAATTTTTCTTAATTATGTCCATTTTTAATGTTTCTTTAAGTTATATCAATCGAAAGATCAGGTCTTTTTACATAGAAATTATTAATAAAAAAAGAAAGAAATATGTACATATATATTAGTTGCATTGAGTTACGCAAAAATAGTGCCGAGAATCAATCGATTGCGCTTAAGGTGCTGGCTGCTTCCGAAAGGGCCGAAAACGGCACATTGCACACTCATTTTCCATCACTGATCTCTACTGTTCAGTGCCAAGAATGATAGAATACAATTATTCTATCATTCTTGGTTCAGTGCCACCCAAGTACCACCCTTCCATATAGATTTGTTAAAAACGGAAAATACAGTGAGTAATAAACAGCAATAGAGGCTTTTAACGCTACTTTCAATCTTATATTTATAGAAATTCTCTTGTGAACTACGGAAGCTACCCCACTTATGTCTTATGAAAATCTGCGTAGCTACATACATATATTGCACTTAGCGGAGATATCGTATTAAAAACTATCTAAAAGGACATGACACTTCGTCGTATGAGGTATATGTATTTATACTCTAATGTTTTTATATGGGAGAAAACACTGTAACTTTAGTTAACTGAATTATTAACTTTTCCAGAAAAATAAAGTGTGCTTAAAAAAGCAAGTCGATCAATCTCAAATTCATAACACCTTGTCTTCACTTGCACTTTTTCTTTGTGTGCATACATGATATTTATATGGATATCGCACAACACAAGGCGAATTCATATAAGGTGGTATCCAAGGCGAATTTAATAAGGTGGCAAGAATCCATGATAAAAACATAGTAAGGTAGAATCGAGGTCATGATTTGTTTTTAAGTTTGCAGCACTTTAAAATCAAATAAGTGAAAAAAATTGAAATTGTTCGAAATTCGAAAATGTGTGAGTTTGTGAGTGAATTTAAAAATTAAATTGTTTGGAAACGTCAAAAATTTTAAAAGTGACTCAGCGGTTCTACCTTACAATATTTTTATCCATGATAAAAACATTACAAGGTAAATTCATTCTCAATTAGTCAGCCTTGATTTTTTTCTGACGTTTGCAAGCATTTTAAAATCATATAAAATTAAGAAAAAAAAAGAAATTATACCCAATTGTTGTTTGAGATTGAAAATGACAATGTGTGTGTGAGTTTGAGTTTTTAATTTTTAAATTATATGCTGGCAAACGTCAGACTGACTCGCAATGGTTTTACCTTGTTATGTTTTTATCATGGCATGAACCAAAAATACAAGATCACGCAAGAACGCGACGTTGTATTTGTAACTGGTTCTGAGAAAAGAGTTTGTGAAAGCGGGTTCGTCAGCTGAGAATTTGTTTACATCACAAGTATACTACTTTACACCTTTCTTTAACAAAAGAAAAGCTCATCCAACAGGACAACACGATTTAAAGTATTTTAATGAGTAATTTTACCTAAATTATGTGTTTAAAGACGTTTTCCAGGCAAACAAGATGGCGTAGAACCCGCTAAAAAATCGACTTTTTTCACTCTCTTGTTCTTGCGTGATCTTGTGTCGTTGCACGCAACTTTTTAGTCAATTTGTATACAAGGTGGTGTTACTGGCGAATTAAGATTTTCGCCGCGGTACTTATTAATGTCAAAATGATGTGTTTGTTGTAAACTAGGCGATTTCATATTACAACAAATACATCATTTTGACATTAGGAAGTACCGCGGCGAAAATCTGAATTCGCTTTGGAAGAAATGTTACACGAGCTGCAGATTTGCTAAAGTATCCATATTTTTGTTAAGGAACAAAAGTTTATCAACGATTTTTGGCTTCAAGCAGTATCTGCGGCCTGAAATTATCTGTCCTGCTTTGCTAAATGTTCTTTCCTACTCACAAGATGAAAAACGTACCGCCGGCGTTTAATACACCTTGCCGCCGGCTTTTACTCTTTGAAAACCATGATACAACTACACAAGATCTGACAAGATGGAGCAAAAGAAAAAAAGTAATTTTCTGGCTGACGTTTGTAATTTCGGCGCCATGTTATTTTCTGTGAAAAGTAAACAAAGAATATGAAGACGAAGCATAAAGAAAAACTGCAAGCAATATGTGCACATGTTTGTGCTAACCATTATTTATGTACGTGTTTTTGCATTCAATCACCGCGCACGTCATTTTAATTACATTTGCACGAAAACTCACTGAAATAAACCACCGACAAAATACATATAAAAAAACAAGCAAAACAGAAATAGCAAACTTCAAAATTACGAACGTCACAACACTTATTTCTCAATTGCTATTACAAATGGCTGCTTCTCAACCGGTCAGATCAAGGCGTATTCAATAAATACGCCTTGGGTCAGATTTGTTTTAATTGGTTCATGTTTGAAAACTATCAATAGTGCTTACAAAACCATCGATGTTGTCGATATTGGGATTATACCGCCTTGTACCGTAACGCGCGGTTTGCGCAAGTCTGTACCGAATTATTGACTTTTTTGAGATTAAAACGCTACAGTGAACAAACTATAACATCTATTCATTAAAGTTTTTGAATACGCTATTTAAATACTTATACCTTGCATACATACATACATTTTTTAAATAACATTTTCCTTTATCTGATTTAGACCAATTTTGTTAATTTCCGCATCACTGTTGGCATTTCATTTGTTGACGTCAGTAGAATCTGTACGAAAGCAAAACGTCAAAAAAGAAGCAGAGACAAATTTTGATTTTGGAAAATTTGAAGAATCGCACTCTCTGGCGGATAAGAAGCGGTGAAGCATCGAAAATAATTGCTATTTTAAAATCGAAGGCCAACAAAAGTTTTTATAAGTGATCAGCAATGGCACAGAAGGCACAGGAATTAGTGGAAAAGTACCGAAAGTCTGTGGATGCAGCACTCAAAGACCGCAGCAAGCCCTGGACACAGGCATTTGAGTTCGTCGAAGCAAAAACAAACGTTCCCAGATTGTACTTATTTTTGGGTGAGTGCGACGTAGTGGTTTGCTGGTGCTGACTGGCTGACATCATAGGCGTGAGCTATATAATGTTGTCAACGTAGGCAGTAATGCAATTGAATTTTAAAAATAGCACAAGTTATCATGTAGAATAAAACTTAAATTAGTAGGCTCTTTAGTTTTAAGTTATCTCTTCATAGTTTTCTTATTACAACATTAGGTTAGCTGAAAAACTTGGAAAATGTGCATATTTATTGACCGACATGTGATCCGCCTTTTATTTTACTGATTTTCTGTCTCATTTCGGTTTTCTCTTTTGCTTCTTTGGACTTTTAGGGCAGTAAAATTACTCATCCCACTTTTTTCTTTTTTTCTTTTTAACGCAAACCACAAAACCATGGTCGATACTAAAAGTCACGCTTATTTCATTTGCTTTTTACTATTAAATAACCAACGTTTATTTAAGTAATCTTGAAACTCAAGAACAGACATATGCACATACATATGTATATGGGAAAGTAAAACGCAATAATCCGCTGACGTCAGAGTGATAGCAGACATAAAACATTTTCGCCATTGTTCTAAAAATAAGGTCATACGTGGCATTACTTTCTAATGAAGTCAATGACTCTACCTGTTGTGTTGATCTTACAAATTATCGTGTCTGCCAGTGCACTTTGGAAGCAAACGCACCAATAATTATACATATTTACATAAATACAAAGAAAATCAGATGCACATAACCTTAATCCTCACAAGCACAGATCGGCGATTGAAGATTGCTCTTCTTTTCTGAAAAATTCGCCCATCTTAATTAAACATGTGGATTTGGGAATACTTTATAAACTGGAGAAGACGCGAAAAACGGTTAAAGGCTCTCAGTGAGCCAATTGTTAAATTTGGAGTTGGTGTGTATACATATGATTTTAAACATATGCGATTTTTACCATTTTTTAATATATTTAATTTCTAGAAGTAGATAAAAGCAACTATTCTTAACACGTTGGCTGCCAAGGCCTTTTTAGAATTTTGATCGTTCAGTAGTAGTGCCATTTAACAATTTTGGTCACCTGAGGCCAACAACTTATTTTTGTTCTTTTTTGTTTCTTAGTGCCTAAAAATAAGTTTTGACTACTCGCGACTTTATTTTGGTCTCTAAATTTGCAGTTATAACGGTTTTTTTTGTGTCGCACATGTACCATTAAAATACCATTACAAATACACAGCGGCCATGGGAAACACACCAAAATGTTCACCACAGGCCAGAGAATCCAAATTCCATGTAAAATTCCATATTAAAATGTACGAAAATGTGCGACGTGGCTCAGGGTAACATTTAGGTGTCGCACGAAAATGTGCGACGTGGCCTCAGGGTAACATCTGGGTGTCGCACGAAAACGTGCGACGTGGCAGCCAACGTGTTAATACATACTTCTTAGCAATACACTTTATTTCTCTGTGAGCCCATTTCTTAATCCGTTACTAAGCTACTATTTGTATTGAAATTCATATGGTGCATAGTGTGTATGGTTTACAAACGAGAAACTCGAGACAAATAGCATGCCCGTGTCGACCCAAGTCATTACCAGGAATTAGCAGATATATTCTATTTCAAAAATAAAGTACTTGTAAGTTTGAAGAAAGTCATATGAAATCCTTTTTTATATTCAGCGAAAACTAAATACTATCACATCAACTAATATGATTTTCTAAATCGTATTGTTACTATCACATCAACTAACAAGAATTTAAAAATCGTGCTTAAGTATCAGTCGCGCAACTTATTCGACTAAAAATTTTAAAAGTTTTGCAAAAGCAAGTCTAATTTCGTGCCACTAACTTCTTATGGAACCCGTGCGTATGGAGAATTTCCAAGACAATTTTGCCGGGCCGGCCAAAAAACTGCGTGCTATTTATCAAACGATGCAGGCTTCTCCACGATCAAGTCGGCCGTGGTGAAAATGCGCTTCATCAGAAGCTTTTAATGAGAACCTTTTTCAAATCTGAAATACGCTCGAAAGTTTGCCATTGCCTGACGAGTGGCCACCGCTGTTAGAAAAAAACTTTTTCTAATGTACATAGATGTTGCTAGGATCAGGGATCGACACCAGGTCCTACGGTGTTGTAGCACGCATTTCTAACCACTCCGTCCGAACAAAACTTAGAGGATTGTGGTAGGGTCAAGTACAATATGAACATACATACATAAGTAGGTTATTAACCCTCGATATTTTTATTAAACCCCGTTGTTTTGGAAAATGAACCGGGCACCGCCCATCTAAATACCAAATTTGGTATATCTAGACATTCTTGGCATTTAGTTTGCGGGGATTAGTTTGCGTTCAAACAGAGAAGCGAGCATCGCTAAACATATTTAACTCGTTGTTCTCGTCCTTTTCATATTCTTATACTTACAAACATCGAACCAAAATTACAATATAAACTTCGAGAAGAAAGGTGTACAAATTAACCGTAGATACAATGGCAAACTCCTGTTTGTTTGAGTTTTTTAGGCATTACCTATAAAAAAGTTTATAAGCATTTTAATACACAAAAGATATTAGTTAATAAGCATTGTCATGTGTTTTACTAATGTTGCACACGAAGCTGCATGTTACCTAGGCATGTTAGCACTATTACGCTTTGACGAATAATCGTTTTCATTATTTTATCATACGAAGGTGCATATTTATTTGTGTGTATGTTAATACATGATTTATATATCGTCGTTTAAAGTACAAAACCGCGTATCAATATAATGCAAAACCGCGTATGTGAGGTTGCATAAATTATTTTCTAGAGTAAAAACACTTATATTTTAAAATGGTTCTTTTTTTTATAAAGCAATCGCATTTCTGGCTAGTATATTTCAGGACGAATGGATAAGGATTGAGCCAAGAGCTTTTGCGAGCTAATCCAATTTTTGGCAGCAAATACGCGGTTTTGTACTTTAAACGACGATATGATTATATACATACATACATATATGTACATACATATGTATGTACGCATGTACAGCGTGGCGACGAATAACTGTTACCCCGTTTTTTTGAGAAATAAAAGGGTCCTTTATAAATTTTGCGAAAAAAGTATTTTATTGTTAATTTTCCACAGATTTTACTTTAGTTGTATTAGTTAGTTTTTAAATTTTAATCCTTATCTACATTTGCCAGCAGTGTAAACTTTGAGAGAAAAGTTCATTTGGCACGCAAGTCTTTTTCAGGTGTATTTTTTCTTAGGCTTTGTATAAAAAAAGTACAAAAAAGAAAAAAACTGTATAAGGTTGGTCGAATGAATGGCCGTCCTAGTCACCAGTCCCGAGTCTATTAGATTTTTGAGTATGAGGCCTTATTTTGGACAGAAGGGGGAGTATAAGGGACTCAAACTGGAGAAAATTAGCCTATGGTTACAGAAGATATGGAACAAATTAACTAACGAGGACCTGCGTGCCAAATGAACTTTTCTCTCAAAGTTTACACTGCTGGCAAATGTAAATAAGGATTAAAATTTAAAAACTAATTAATACAACTAAAGTAAAATCTGTGGAAAATTAACAATAACATACTTTTTTCGCAAAATCTATAAAGGACTCTTCTATTTCTCAAAAAAACCTGGGTAACAGTTATTCGTCGCCACGCTGTATATAAAATATTTTGTTATGTGTATGTGCAGTCGCTTATGTGCTTATTAATTTAATACTTAGGGTGAAATACACTTGCAAAAGAGTTATTTTATCTACTTATTATGTACATACATACGTAACGTATAATGGCCGGTTAGTTACCTTTGTTCGCTCTCTTTTCGCAAGCGCATTTTATTATAAACGGATTTCAGTTCACTTCAACGCTTATATAAATGTACATCTGTACATATGTATATATGTATTTAGCAACACATTGTTAGCCACTAACAATCTGCCTTTGAGCAATTTTTATTTTATCTCTTTACGTGGCACAGAAGACACAATATTTTAA